ATAGAGATTTATGACTGGTAGAAAATGGTATTTATTACATTTTCAAAGATACATTCTGAACTGTGTTAATGAACACTAAAATTTTTAACTTATAAATAAGATTCAAATAAAGTTAAACTGATAAAAGAATTTGGTAAAAGAACCAGCCCTCACAATATTCAATCTAAATAAATTAAAGAAAGTCACTTTGAAACCATCAAGACAGACACTGCACATGGCAGACTGAAGATATATATATATATATATATGTATGTATATATATATACATATAATACATATATACATATATATATGCATATATATATGTATATATATGTATATATATATATAAATATATATATATATACATATATATATAAATATATATATATGGGTGTCCAACATTTTTCACCTTTAACATCTGTTTAAAGCCCCCACTTGAACCCCTCTCTATCCCTAGGATTAAATAAATTTTAATGTTCCCATTTAACATCTGTTTAAAGCCCCCACTTGAACCCCTCTCTATCCCTAGGATTAAATAAATTTTAATGCACATTTATTTTGGTTGCATAATGGTAAAAACAACAAAAATAAAATTTCAAGATACTGCAGGACATATAAGAAATAAAAATAACTGCTTTGAACACCACGGACTATCAAGCCTTGTTCTTAAGTTTGACACAATTAGAAAAGAAATAGCTTATGCCCTATCCAGTCCTTGTGTATACATTTCTTTTATAATTACTCTATACCATTCACTTTTTAAATAAACCTGAATAGAAAAATACATTAACTATGTGGTCATTTTATAAGAATTTTGATGGTAACAAGAGGCAGCAGATCACCTACTGAATTACATTAGAGGTTTGTAATACATTTGTGGCTTGCAGTCTACATGTTCCATCGTACAGTAACAAGTGTGTAAATGTTTGTCTTTCATTGCAATTTACAAACTAGCCTCACATATACAAATAATCTGAGACTTACAAAATAATTTTCAGGTAACGCTTACATGGCAAGCAGTTTTTTTGATTGTTTTTTTTTTTTTTTTTCTTTTCATTTTGAGTTTGTGATTTTTCATAAACAATGTCCTGTGACAGTGTTTGTGCAGTAAAACTTAACCCAAAACATACATTAATTGTAAGTAGCAATTTTTGAACAGAAATACAACTTCATTCAGAATACATCTAATATGACATGGCTTTTTACACAAAGAAAAAAGTCCCAAGATCAACTCAAGAGTTCTACGGTGCCTCCAATTCCAATGAATTGTAACAAAAAGCCATTTAGTCACCCAGCAAAAGCAGATGTCCTGCTTCTGGTTGAATAATCCAGAGATCCTGCAGCTGAATCAAGAGAGCATCTCCAAAACCGACATGTACCCATGCAAACTGAACAAGCAAAAGTTGTATCCACTGGTTCATTGAGTCTTCTCTTTTCCCAAGAGTAATGATTCTGCAATTTCACGAAAGAAAATAGCTTTGACACATTTTCCTTCTTCTTTATACAATGAAAGTTGAATTTGGCGAGGTATATTGTCGAGCATTGTATTCCACCACCATTTGATTCAGTTTGGAAAAATGACTCTATGAAAAAAATAAACCAAAGGCCATAGAAAGGTAAGTAAAAATAATGGTTGCTTTCAGTGTGTTATGTCATTTGTATGTGATGTATTTTGATTTTGATTTTCAGTGGCATGAATAATCCAGTCTTTTACTTTGGACAACATCCTGGCTATTCTAGTAATAGCTTGGTAGTGTGGGCTCATTTTGCATTGGTCATTAATGTTTTTCCAAAAGGCACTTTTTTTAATGTGTATGTGTGCTGATACACAGAAGGGGAAGGAGGAGACGTGAAGGACAGCTTCAAGAAGAGTATATGGGCTTAAATGCCTGCTTGTGGGTGCGACTTTTTTGTATTGAATGCAGTAAATTAAATATAAGAAACTATATTTTACTGAGTGCAGTCTGCTCCTCAAGCACCTGCAAGTAATCAGGTGTTCCTTGGAGCTTGGCTTTAAGCTCGTAGTACTCACTTTTTCTATGTTCCACTACAATTTTACTATGGTTTCCGCCTATCAGTGATGATTTTTTCATCTTTTTATCCAGTGTTTTTTCTGGGTAGCGGATTTCATAACCGCGCATACCTATACTGTTGAATTCCCTTTTGCTGTCTAAGAAGTTCTGAATGAACATGCTAGACTCTCTGTTGGGGAGGAATTCCTCAAGTTCATCAATGGTGCTGAGACGTTTGTTTTGCTCCAGGGTGGCAAGTGGTTCTTTTTCCGTTTCACTGCTGTTGCGGAAGATAATCTTTTGTCTCTGAGAATCAGCGAACTTGAACCCAGCATCCATGTCTGAGGAACGTCCAATCCCACAGGTGTGACTTTTGCCAAAATTCTCTATGGTCTGAGGGATGAATGTCTCACCTCCCAAGTCATCTCCTGGGATGGCACCTTTCTTGCCAGATTTATGGCTGTGACGGCGAAGTTGCAATGACATATTGCTGCACTCCCGATTTCCAAGCCCTTCCTGTCTGCCCACCGGCTTTTTGTTCCGCCTCAGAACAAAGACTAAAAGGCAGAAGGCCACGAACACAGTAAGGATTAGCACTACAAGGATGCTAAGGATCATAATCGAAAGAGGCACAGGTCCTCCTGGTGGAGCTTTGCCAACTCCTGCAGATGACACTGAAGTCATTACAGGGGTGGCCCTGGTGTGAATTAATGGTGGCCTTGCAATAAGTTTAGGACATAAGATCTCGTTTTTCAAGTGGCGTAGCTCAATGTTGGAGAACTGCACTGGAGAGGCACACTTCACCTCTTTGGCAGCTAGTCCATCATTTAACTTCTCTAGCCAGAGTTTGAGGGCAACAAGATCACATGAGCACTCCCATGGGTTGCCCTCTAGGTCTATCTGGGACAGTGACTGCAGCTGATCTAATACACCACTTACTGGCAGCGTCATGAAGTGATTGTTTTTTAAATTAAGTCTGGCTAAAGGCACACCTGCAAACACATAGGCAGGTAAACTCCTTAAAACGTTATTGTTCAGATACAGCAACTGCAGATTTGGCATGGGGTCAAATGAACCTGCTAGGATTTCTTTTATAGCATTATATTCTAAATAGAGATACTGTAGGTTTGTGAGACCCAAAAACATCTCGGGGTGTAACTGCTCAAGCTGGTTTCCATTCAAATACAATCTTCTTAGGTTAGTAAAATTAGTAAACACACCTTTTTGGACTGTTACTATTTGATTACTTCCTAGATGCAGCAAATCTAAGCCTTCAAAACCCTGAAAATCAGTCAAGCTTATGTCATGGATGTAATTCCCACTGAGGTGAAGTTTCTTAGCATTCTGTGGTTTTGGAATAAGTTCAGCAAGACTTTTAATATTTCTCTCTTGACAGCTGACACTTATGCCAAAGTCCGAGGGATGGGCTTTGCAACTGCAAGGCTGTGGACACAAGGGAGGGATCCTTGTCTGAAAGGACACAATCTGACTGTTTCTTCCGTAAGGGGGCAACCCTGCAATGATACCATTCCCATAAATCTTAGACGAGTCTGTCATTTTTGGTGCTTTTGTGGCAAAAGGAGCCACACTGGTTGGTGATGTGATCGAAGGTGACTGTCCATTATCTGCTGGTGGCATTTTCACATCAAAGTCGCTACCTGTTCCCATAGGACAAAGTTCCTGTTTGCTGGTTTCTTTAAGCAGCCTCCCGTACAAATCACTCGGTGTTTCACATATGGCCTCACCAATAAATATGTTATAGGGCATGTTTTCAAGCCATGACTTGAGCGGCGCTAAATCACAGGTACAGTTCCATGGGTTATCATCCAGCTGTAGCTCTACAATGCGCCCGATATGCTCCAGAACTCCTAAATAGGGAAGCTTCTGAATCCGGTTTCCTCTTATATCAAGATGTGTGAGTGAGACAAAGCGAAATATATTGTCAGGCAGTGCCTGTACAAGATTATCATTCAAAATCAGCACTTTCAATTTGTGCAGTTTGTTAAATGTTCCCTTTTCAATATATTTAATCAGGTTATAATCAGCCTGAAGGTATTCCAAGTTTTCAATTCCTTGAAAAGTGTCTGCACGAAGAACCTTCAGTTCGTTATTGTTTAGATGCAGCTGTTTCAATGCCGACATCCCCTGAAATGCTCCACCTTCAATGCTTTGCAGCTTATTGTTTCCCAGCTGCAGTGATACAGCGTGAGTGAAGTTCAGGAAGGAGTTGGGGTAGAGTACAATATAGAAGTTATTCTGGAAGTTAAGGTGGTACAGGAACGACGACGGTGGAATGAGCTGTGTCGGTCTATACACAGTGATCTTCTCACAGTTGACATAAAGCACATTTTCCACTGACATGCAGGAACAGGCACTGCAGGTTTCAGCCATTAAGTACGAGGCCGATGGGTCTGCCGTTGGGAATCCGTCTGTCACGGAAGGGGAGGAGAGGGAGGAGGAGAGGGTGTCGGAGAAACAGGAAAAAAAGGCTGCCAGCAGAAAAATAAGCAGCATCTCGTTGGTTAGAAATCCTCCCCCAGAAAACCATTTAGCAACCTTTGAAAAAAAGGGATGCATGCACAAGCATTCACATAACAAAACACAAATACACACACAGACACACAGGCACGCAAAAAAAGGCAAACCATCAAAATGCATGTTTGATACAGATTATTCCTTCAATCCAGTATTTAATTATTTATAGACATTTACTTCAGAAAACATGAAATCACCATGCTAAGGATCTAATTACTACTTTAAGTCAGGGTATTTGCTTTGGCATTCTAATCACTTGTCAAGACAATATTTGCGGATTATTCCGTGATACAGGAGAACATACCATATGTCATCAGTGATGATCTTGTCGATGTACCAGGATGCATCTCTGCATCCTAATCAGAAAAATGTCCAAGCTTGTTCTTAAAAAAAATGTGTCAGACAGCTACATAATCCCCCGAATAGGCACATTCATCAATGTAAAAGAACTGCTGCTTTCATTTGATCAATTATAATGGTAAAGGTAACACACACACATATACATATATGTATACACACACACACGCACGCACACACACACACACACACGCTGCCATTAACTCAGAGATACTTACCCAAAACCGAAGATGTAATGAATGCGGCTTTCTCCGGAGACACAGAGCAGCATCGGTGATACGTGGATTCGGAGCGTCGGCGCTTTATTCCTATTAGCCCAAAGTGAAATGTAGAAACAGTTTAGGGGCGCAACAAGGTCCCTGTGGTTCCTTATAACATCCCCACGTATGCAGCCGTGTGCATAAAGCCTTGGCCAAAGCGAACTAGATAGACTGAAATGCGGTGGAGGGGAGAGAGAGTGAGGAGGAGGGAGAAGAGACAGCAAGAATGGGGGGGGGGGGGGGGG